TTGTTAGAAGCAAATATAAAGCACGTTATATATTGTTCTTTTAAGAAATATTTTTCATATTAGAAATAAATAATTCAACGAGTTTTGATAATATTGATTTGATCAAGAATGACTAAATCCGACGATCGATAGAAAGTGAATCTGGCATGAACAGCATTCAAAAGTGTGAGAACACCAAAGCCTGGATCAGTAATGATGAGGCAAGATTGATTCGATCTCTGGTAAACATGTTCGCTGTCCTCAGGGTTGCCAATAGCACCATTAGTTAGATAGACGGGACCGCTCGGATTGATATAGTCAGTTGTATTAGTCGTACCTATAAAGATTCAGGTCAAACAATTGTTTTTTAGTTAATTATTAGGTTGTCTACAACTATGTCTAACCACTAAACAAAACTGAATCTTTTTCTACGAGTAGTTTTCTATATGTACGTACAACAACAATTATTAACTGACGGAAATTTTTGGCTTGTCTCATTACTTTATGCTACTGCCTTTTTTAATGAGTTTTTCTTTTATTTCTGTTTCTCGATGAGTAAAAGATCCGGAAAAAAAGTGATCATACATACCATTTAGAAAAATGCGTTCATACCAGTGTACATGACCAGCAAGGTAGATATCCACATTGTATTGGATCAAAATAGCTTCAAAAGCTGCTCGACATGCGGGACAGTTGATGATTCCACCTGAAAATATAGCTTCAATTGGTGTTGATTCTTTCCATGGACGATGGCAGTGGGCAATGATCCACGGAGTGATAGAGTGATTTACGACAGCTAAATCATTTATTAGCTAACTCACTTAAGTTGTGTTATCGAGAAGATTGCCTGAAGGAGCATTGGGAAAATCTGATTCACATGAAAGCGAGATCACATGAACAAAACCATAATCAAATGAATACCATGAATTTAAATATCCACCAGATTGCTAGCTCGGCATATTGAACCGATTACTATAAGACTTCTGATTCTTGTAATTATCTGGACATGCGCCATTGATAACTGGAACCTCTGTGCAGTTTATCTCGTGATTACCAAGAAACAGATCAAATATTTTGATATTCTCATGAGTTTCTCAGTGCAATATTTCATCATGACTTATTCGTTATTTTGGAATATGTCAAAACAGTTATCATATAGAAACGCGTACTTGTTATATTCATCATTGCCATTTGACAATAATCCATAGTCTCTTCATAGTCTTTTCCGAATAAAAGTAGAGGGCTGTCATCTGCATAACAAATATCACCATGGTGCAAGAAAAAATCAACCGATGGTAAAATTTTCTGTAAAGCTTTTAATGCTTGCTCGAAAAGACAGACACCATTAGTCAGAGCTCCTATCAGACCATCAACACTCAGATCACCATCGGTAGCTATATTCACGGCTCGACTTTGATCACCAAGAGTTGGTGGTGATATAAAAGACAGAATATTTGATGCTGATACATAGTTTGATGCAGCAATTTTATAATAATAGACGGTAGACGGTTGAAGATTTAGAAGTTCAACGTTGTAGAACCAAGACGTTTTGAAAATATTTTGCGTATTATAAACATATGATTTTTGGTTGATCGAAGTGAAAGTGAGCGCTGTAGGCGAAAATCCATAGAAGACTGTCGGAATAAGATATGGGCTTACAATTATGAACGGGCAAGCATACGAGTGCCAACCGACACTTACACCATTTTTGCCAGCAAAAGTCAAACGAATTTGATCCGGTACGAATCTTGTAAGACAAATAGAGGCATCTATTACTTTTGCATTTACAAAGAGTAGAAGGAGGAGAAATTTATACATATTCATCATTGGTAGAATTGAAAATAACACTATTATCGTACATTAGCATCACTATAAATTGAATTTTGTAATTTGGATGACAGAAATCGCTCGAGCGTTACTGACGCGAGCCAAGGACGAAACTTAGGGATATTACAGTGCATTGGATAGTCATCGGCATATTATTGATTCATACGTGCATGACAAAAGAGTTCGCCCAATGAATATTCGAAACCAGTAGATGTCAATGCATTACTCGATATCACTAATGAACATTCACCGAATGATCGTCAGCAGCATTAGTTTAATTCATTAAAACAAATGAAGAAAATGCTCGTGGAATGTAATCATCGACAGTATGAAAGTAAGATATCTTCTAGATTTGTCTTATATGATATCTTTTCAGAAACCTTCACGGACCTCAAACGTCGAAATTCTGCCAGAAAATTTCTCAACATTGAGTTTGCTTCGACATTCGACAATAATAATTCCTTCTCTACGATTGAGAAACATTGTAGACATCTTTTATGCACAAAGACTCGCTTCCTTTTCTTTTTGATTTGAAAATATTTTTATTTGAGGCTTCGATCACTAAAATTGGTCTTCTTCTGAAAATATCAAAACTGTAATAAAATGAATACGCACATGGATGATTAATACAGTTATCAAATAGACTGTTTCTTTTTTCTTTCTTTTCTTTTCTTCTATTTATACACATTTTAAGATTGGTATAGGAAAAGAAAAAGTATTTCAGTTTTTACCATCTTGCCCAAATCAATATCAGAATATATAAAAATAGACAGAAAAGAAGAGACGAGAAAGAAAAAAGAAAAGAAAGGTAGATTTTATCCTTGTATTAATCATCATTGTGCTTGTTTATTTTATCATAAGTGTGCATATTTTTTGAAAAAGATCAATTTCAGTGATCGAAACTTTAAATAAAAAATTTTCAGATCAAAAATAAATGGTAGAGTCTTTTTATATGAAAAATAATAATTTATTTGTCCTTATTTTTAAGCAAACTTTTTTAAACTTGTGGCAAGAATCTTTTCGACGATTTTCATAACTTTCTTGGTGATCTCATGGCTAAAATTTGTCAATGCTTTGAATTAATCGATGAATAATGCATATTATCATGCAGTTTGAAATGTTCTACGAATGTCCAGTATTAATTTGATCAAAAATCAAGAAAGAAACTTCAGAACTATATCAAGGTTTGGCATTCTCAATACCATACGTGTTCATTGTTCGAGTATCGGTGTGAGTATGTGAATAGCTTATTCTAACACACCCAGACAGACAAAAAACAGTCAAAGAGCGTTAAAACACGTTAAATTAGTGTTTTTACCATTTTAAAACGAGCGAATGTCTGAATTGATTTAATTCATACTTTAAAAGCGTTTGTCATAGGTTTTTAAGTGCATTGTTATTATACACTGTTAACACACTCCTATTTTGTTATGACGCAATAAATCACGCTTACGCAAGAAATTTTCTTTGTTTTTTTAGATCATATCCAATCGATTGAACATTATTCACTATAGTACTTCAAAGATTAGTTAAATATTTTCTTGCACAATAATTGCCAAAACACACTGATGTAATTAAAACTGACGTAAGCACATCGTTTGACAATTAAAACATGTTTGTTGTAATTGAATAGGCAGAAGTTTGTGTTNAACTACAAGATCTTTGTTGCAGAGAGACTGTCTCCTAGTCTTTTCTGAGATATAATTGTCATTGAATTACTTGCATAGAACTTCATTCGTTCGTACTTTGAACATCATCAAAAATGAGCAAGCTTCGAATTTTAATGAGAAATCGAAACAAATGTTCATGATTGTTCAAAGACTTTTAATGATTGTATTACGTAATAGATACTAAGTGTTTATTTATGGTCCTTTCGTATATATTAATTTTCATTAAATCAATAACATATTCTAAATATTTTCGCTCACCTTCGTATAACTAGTGTCCTGCATGGATATGATTTTTCACAAACGGATCCGGATCGAAGCTAATAGACCTTTGACACATACTTTTACAGGCACAGAACAGTTTTTAGACTTTTATTTTATATGAAAAAGTATACTATTTAGTTTCTTTGGTGAAGTATAGATTTGCTTGTTGCTAATGACGATGGAATGGAACGTAGTGTTTTAGTGCTAAACATAATAATTGTGGATATACACATGAATGTTTTTTTCCATCACAATTATACATGTTCATCTTTTTTGATAGTTCATTATCTTCTCTATGTATTCAATTGCTTCGTCGTATGGTTCTTCATTATTTGTAGATAAGGTTTCATTAAAAACGAATTCTTTTAGTGAAGCAATATTGCTTTACACTTCTATAATCTGTTCTTAAGCACAATAAATTACTCAATCGTGATAGAACAGATTTTCACTTCTATGCTTGCATATAAATTAATAGTTTTGAAAAAACAAAATATATATTGTGAAGTGTTCAGATTTCGTTACTTTCTGAATCCAGTGCTGAGTGCTCAAACTAGTTTCAGGACACTATGTACAAGTATTCTTACAAAAATATCATTAAAACATGATCAATAAATGAAGTTCTATGCAAGTAATTCAATGACAATTATATCTCAGAAAAGACTAGGAGACAGTCTCTCTGCAACAAAGATCTTGTAGTTTCATTCATAGTAATCATGAAGTAAATCATTTGAAAAAGGTGTTTTGCTTTTCAATATATATATACAGATGATCGTATCTCATCAACAATAAGTCATAGTCGCGAATTCTTTTAGGTTTTTTTACTCTTACTTTGATCTACTTGTAGCTAAAATATAGAATTGAAAGTTTCAAAACAATTGAGAAGTTCTCTTCATAAGTTTAATCATTAGTGGCATGGCGAAAGATTACTTAGAGAAAACATTCAATATGTTTTTAAAGTTCACGAAATATACGACTGACACAAAACATCTTCCCCATCAAGTTCTTTATTTTTTTCTTATTTCTATTAAATAATATAACCAATTATTAAGAATTAGTCTTAAACTGATGAATATTAAATAGATCGCACAGTATTTCCTACAATAGAAATATATACTTTAGTAGGTCATAACACAAAAGAGAAAAATACATCGTTAAATGCTTTTTTTAACGTTTGGCAAGTGATTTAATGAATGTAAAATTTTATTACAGCTGTTACTCCACACTTAAACATGATTCTATTACTTTGTTTCGAATAAAAAAAAAATGCTACATCAACGAAGACTATTTTGGATATGTTTCTATAGTTCATGTACATTATTCTTCTTCAGTGCTTTGATTTATGATCATTATCAATCACACTTTGATTTTGATAATCAATTAACAAATGAAAATATCTCGATTGAAAAAGCTCTAAAACAAATGCCAATATGTGTTCCAGATGATCGTCCTCGTCAACGTACTATTCTTTATACTCTTCTAGAATGGACTCATTTTGCTCAAAAATATAATATTCGATATTGGATTGCCTATGGATCACTTGTTGGGTATGTTCAACGTCATGGTTTATTGCCACATGATTTGGATGTTGATCTTTTAATCATGGCACAAGATACATCACAACTTTTTCAACTTTCTCAATTAAATTTTTCATCAATTTATGAACTCAAAGTTCAACCACAATGGTATATTGTCGGAGAAACAAAACGTTCATATTTTTATTCTGAAGGTATTAATTTTGTTGCACCGAATGCACGATTTATTAATCGAAAAGATCATATTCATGTTGACATTTGGCCTATGTATGATTATGATCCAAGTGAAACGAGAATGGAAAAGAATCGTAAGCCAATGCTTACTGAATATGATGAATATTATAATTGGAAATCATCGCCACAAGAATGGACATTTCCATTACAAGAATGTCTATTTAGTGGAATTAAAGTATGGTGTCCAGTGGAACCAGAAAAACTAGTGGCTAATATTTATGAAGAAATCTCTTTCGAATTAGGATCGACACAATGCATTAATGGCTCTTGAGTAAAACTGCATGAACATACATCTGCAGAAATCAGGACAATAATGAACAACCAGACTATCCGTACTTCGCAAATAACAGAGGCGTAAGTTAATTGATATAAAAGTTCATCCTCAATATTGCAAGCTTCTCACTAGGAACTGCTGAAGTTAAGAAGAATTGCACCTATGAAAACGGAATGTTTGTGGTAGTGTCGCCCGCAGATGAGAGAGTGAAATATTGAGAATGAGCAGGATTATGTAAGTGAAGTAAGATAGTATAGCTAAGTGATTCATTGGATTGAAAGTTTAACGCTTATATTGGTACACGTGAAAGAAGATTGAGAAAATACAGTCTATCATAAACTGATTTATCAATTTCCTTTACACTACTTTTAATGAGTTAAACTATTTCTTCTTAGATGGATAGCAACTACAAGTTCAAGTAATGACGATAGCATCAATAAAGCTCTTGAACACATTCCAACATGTACACCAAACGATCGTCCTCGTCAAAGACGTCTTTTGACTAATCTTCAGGTATGATCTCATTTAGCAGAACAATATAATCCTCAGTATTGGATAACATTTGGAACACTTGTTGGTTATGTTCAACGTCGTGGTTTATTACCACATGATTTAGATGTTGATGTAATAATGATGTCTGATGATACACCACAACTTATTAAACTTTCTCAATCGAATATTTCTTCCGATTATGAAATTAAAGTTCAACCACAATGGTATATTGTGAATGAAACTCATCGTTCTTATTTTCGTGAACAAGGTGTAAATTTTATTGCACCTAATGCAAGATTCATTCATCGAGAAACCAGACAACGAGTTGATATATTTCCTGCATATGATTTTAATCCACTTTATGCAAACAAATCAATAGAAAACAAACAATCAGAAAATTTAACAATCTATGATCTCAGATATCGTTGGTTATCATATCCCAGAAATTGGACATATCCATTAAAAACATGTTATTTTAGTGATATAAAAGTTTTGTGTCCATCAGAACCTGAAAAACTCGTAGCAACTATTTACGGCATCGATGCTATAACGAAATCCGATACTAAATGTGTTAATGGTAGCTGGATCAAAGCGTTGTAAGTTCACCGAATATAAAAACTATCTAGCTTTTAATGACGTCAAAATAATAGCATGATTTGAGAAGGAAATATTTTTTATGATACATCATCGTTACTTTTGATTTCATGTCGTATAGTCTATTTACAGCATATTGTTGAAGACTTTGTTGTTTTTGTCATCAAAAAGAGTCCTTGATATTCGATTGATGAGGTGCCTTCAAATACGGCATTGACACCGATTGTAACTTAAGATTAACTGTGCTTTTAATTATTATTTTCAACATCAAAGAAAAATTGGTATTTACTGATTTTGATATATATAACCGCAGGAGGGTTTATTTGTCAGCATATCGACAATCTATGCACTTTCTACAATCCAGAAAGCAGCTCGTCTCTCTCGATAAAATATATTGTTGTATACAAAATACATCATGTATTTATCTCAATTATTTATTAGGTATAGTACTATCATAAAATAAGAATCTAAGTGAGGCAACGTAATTTTAGTTTCATACTTCTCTGTTAAGTCGAAAACGATTATAGTTATTGAAGAGATAGATTTCAATGAACTTGTTGTGTAGTAGCTTTTGCTGTATGTTCAACTTCAATTCATGGTGATTATCAAAACTTAATGAATTTCAAAGAGTAGAAACTGTTTAATAAAAGTTTTATTTCAATTTTTTTTTAAGTTCAATAACTAATTCAATGATGCAATAAAGTCTTAAATCTGGGTCGTCTTTTTCAAATTGTAATTTTTCTTCAATAGGAAAATCTGATGTAGATTATCATCTTAATAAAGTGAAATATTGTAATTTATTTGTATCAATTGTTTAAAAATTCAGTTGAAATCGATTGTCTATAATTACTACTGTGTCCCACTTGATATTCAACAGCTTTACGTCTTAGAGTGGCAATACTCGAACCACGCCAAATAGCTTCATCACCATTTGCTATTAAATGTGTAGAAATTGTCGTAGATGCCGGAGGAAATGGTAAGTTATATGATGATGATGAACACAAATTAATCGGATCGACATTAATTATTGACGGTAATGACGTAGAAAAGAGTGAATGAGGTGGTGGAGGTACACAGATACAAGCAGTCATTGCATTTGATGAATAAAAATGGGGTGAGCATGTTTGATCCATCTAAATAAGTTTTTTTCAGATCAAAAACTGCAATATTAATTTTTTTCTCTTGATTACCTGTGGAAAATTTACCGACGAAAAAGAGAATTGATTCGAATTTTTATTATTATCTATTGGCCATTTAAAATGATGATGATGGTAATGATCTGTTTGTGGTAATGATGTCAATAAAGGTTGTCCATCTATTGACGTATTTATTAAACATCCATATGTACTTAATGATTGAGGATCTTGTGATTGACAATGTTGTCGAAAGATGTTAATATTTTTCCTACGCTTTTTCCATTTGGCACGACGGCTTTGAAACCAAATCTAGTGTAATCATAAAAAAACAAAATGTGAATTCATTCGAAATAGATCTTTTATGATTTTTAAAAAGGAACAAAATTATTCTATTGTTATATCAATAGCAAAAACAAATTACCTGAACACGAGATTCTGTTAAACTAATTCGAACAGCTAATTCTTCGCGCATAAAATTATCTGGATAATGAGTTTTAGTAAATGATCTTTCAAGTTCATTCAATTGTGCTGGTGTAAAACGAGTTCGATGACGTTTTGGTTTAATTGTATGTGTTGTTGATAATTGAGTATCCTCATGAGAAGATGATGATGAATTTGTTGTTATTATTGTTGTAGAAAAACGATTATCATTACCACTAATTGATGAGAATGTTTGTGACGACAAGCACACTCATAAAATAAAAAGATGTGTTTAAGAGAAAATAAATGACAAAGAAAATTATTTGTTGACAAATATTTTTCATATAAATACCTTGTTGAATATATTTTTCATCCAATTTAATTAATTGTTGTTGTTGACAATCATTGTTTATATTGAACATATCGAGATTAAATTACTTATCTTTTTGTCTCATATAATTAAATCCGTTTTTAATGTAGATGTTGAATTTATATGCACTAGATTTGATTATGTTTCTGTATAATATATGTGAAGAAGAAGTGAGTAAGTAAGAGAGAGAGAGAAAAAGCAAATGTCATTCGTTTAATATTGTTTGTCACAATAAACTGATTCTTTCTCTTTCTCTCTCAATTGACATTTCCGGAACACCTACTTTGAACAACAAATAATGTTTTTAACCAATGAATATAAAATATGCCTTGAAGCACATCTATTACAAATAGGAAATAGACACGCGACAATGTCATTATCGGATTATCATAATTCCATAAAAAATACAAATAGAAAAAGAAATCATCAAATATCTAGCTATAACTTTTTATTCAATAGAAAATCATTGATTTGATTTTCTTATAAACATGAGACATGACACGAAGAGCACGATATATAGGAGACGAATTCATGATGTAAAAAAGATTATATAGACATCAAGTAATGCATTCATAAGTGAGTATATGAAAATAGAATAATCATTATACAATACAATTAACATAAAAGAAAGATAATAAATAAAACTTAATCAAGCTTTTTCGTGAGAAACTAATCAATATGTTTATTGATCTTGGTACCGTTTTTTTTTTAATCTGATTTTTTCCTCCAATCAAACGTAGTGATAAAAATTCATTTTCTTCATAGATTATCACTAGAGCATCATAATGAGACTCAACACTAGATTGCTTTTCTCATAAACTATGATTAGGTAATGAGAACTTATCGGACACTTAATGCATATATCGGAATATATAATGGATCTCATAGACTAAGTAGGGATACTGTAAACTTAGAGATTTTTCCGAGAAAACAAATAAATTTCGAACAAGTATTAGATGTCAAATGAGAGACTCGGATTAACGTTCTACTTTAATCCTCAAAATTTCAATAATAAGATAAATCATTAATTGTTTGACTTATAGTTCGTAACATATGATTCCCGAATAACTCAAAACAATGTTATGAAATTAAAATTAAATATGCTTTCTACAATGAAGAGAAATATATTAAATTTCATTTATAATATGCTAATATATAACAATAACAGCATTCAAGTGAATTCAAAATTCTTTACTCAAGGATCATTAACTAATAGTAAATTAATAACAAATTTATTATCCTTTATAAATTTGTTCAATAAGAGACATAAGCTTGATAATATAAATGTCAATGTAATATATCGTCATTCGTATTTTTATGCTCTCAAGTAGATTCCTGAAAAGTTGACATTAACATGTACAAAATCGTTTCAATATTCTACTGAAGCAAAATATTGTTTTATGAAGACATGCATTGAATTATCGTTTGTTTTTTCTATATGGTAGTCACTACTTTGCGTGTCATAATATCCATCAACTGAAGAATATCATGAGAATAACTTCAGAATATCTTCTAGGGTTTCAGTCACAGAATCTATTACTTTATTTTGTTCTATGGTTCAAGTAGAGAATTTCAATCTTCAATCTATGATTTAAAAAAGATCACTCATATGTGCAAATCGCATATGAAACTACACAATATTTGATACAAATCTGCTTTCTTCCATTCACCAATTGATACTCAAATGATATTAAATATTCTTGACCTTATCTTTAGTATTGGGTAAGATTAGAGAATTTTCAGCTGAAAAATATCAAAGCAATAATCATTTTTATGCAATAAATTTGATTATAAAATAAAAGTGGTTATTTTTATGTGATTTTGTAGCCTATCGATGCATTGAAAGTATAAAGTGAATCAACTATTTAATAATGTACTATTTTTGATCGTTGTTTTTTTCATTAGAACTTAATAATTAAGACATTATTCAATATGCCGAGTATCTGGTTGAAGTTGTTTTCATTGTGTTTATTACATTTTTCACATATTATATTTTCATTGATTATAATTTATGAGAAACTTAATAACATGTGAATCGAAAGGGTGTGAGTGTAAAGAGGCCTTGCCTTCATCCCCGTCCATATATGCACATTCCAACTTCACTTTATCCATAAAATGCAAATTGATCATCAAGAAATTCTTTTAAACCAAAAACAAGATATACAATATTTTTTAATTGATATAAATAAATTAATGTTTCATCATCATGTGTTTCATATGCATCTATACTAAATAATAAATATTTATGTTCATGGTCGTATGTGTAAAATACAATAAGACGTAATTTAAATATTAATAACTATCCATGTGTTGAACATATTGATAATTATCGAAAACATTTGAATTCATCATTCGATATATAGGGCAGTCCAATAGTAACCGAGCAGTGTTTGATTGCGAATAACTTTTGATAGGAAGGAGATAGAGAGCTGTGGTTTTTACCGTTCGAAAGAGAAAATGAAGAAGTAGCGAATCTTATGTTATAGATTTTTCTAAGATGTTTTCCAAAGTTTTCTTGATCAATATTCTGAAGAAATTGCTGAAAAAAGGTTTCTAATAAAATAAGACAAACGCACCAACGTGATTTTTTTCACAGAAATTAATAGCAAAAAAAGGCTGAGAATTTCTAGTAGAATACCTATAACTTCTGAAGAAGTAACTGTCAAAGTGTGGGCTTTGCATAGTTTTCTAGATTTCCGACTAGTGGTTCGAATGCGTACCTAATCATAAAAAATTCATTGTATCACCTTACGGCGTACGTTGATTTTCAAAAACGTCAGCTTAAGTCCTTGAAAAAACTTAGTCAGATTTTCTTATATTAAGCAGGTCTATGCGTTTTCATCTTCTCTTTCGAACGATGAAAACTGCAGCTCTCTATCTTGTTCTTGTCAAAAGTTATTCGCAATCAAAGACTACCCGGACACTTTTGGACCACCCTGTATATTAATAATAATTTGAATTAAATCATAATATTGAATCATTCAAAAGCGTTTTCCCAGCTAATCGAAGTTAATTATTACATCTGTTTAATTCATTTTAAGTTGCATTAAATTTGAGTAACAACAATGTTACTGATAATAAGTATGAATAAAATTAGAAGAATTGAAATCTTTATCATAGTAGAACTTTATCTTTTTATTGTTAAATCTAATAGGAGTGTCATTTTATCTTTTCTTTTTCAGTTAAAGTAAAGCAACTCAGCTTGACTTTACTTTTTCAAAGAAAAATAAAGCTAAAGTAACGCCTAGTCTCTATCAATTCTTATTTATCTTTGACTTACCTGGAACAAATACTGAGTGCATAAGCAAAAGTGCTTCATAATGTTTCTTTTTTTTTTCTTTTGTTTAAAACTCTTGAGAATCGTTTTAAGTCATTTTAATCATACGACGATCAATTATTTAAAAATAAGTCTATTGAAAAATATCATTTTTTTCTATCAAATAGTGTTCTTGTCAGTGATATTTTATTTGAAGAAAAAAAAATAAATATTTTTCATTTATGTGTATAGTGAAAAAAATAATATTCATTCATTTGGAAATATTGTTTAAACACAAAAATAATCAATTCAGTTTTTTTCTTTATAACAAACTATAGATCAGCGAAGAAGTATAATCTTAAAATAAATAATATATTATATCCTACAAGTAAAATTGTCATTTAACAATAGAATTCTCATGTATGCGATAGAAAAAGATATGGCACTATGTTACAGATATGAATACGAATGCTTGATTACAATTTAGTATAAAATTGCTTGAGAATGTTTCTGTGATATTTACGCTTGAATATTTGCAGAGTAATTATTGTCCTGAATTCAATGTTTAGATTAATATAATGGAGCGAAATAGAATAATGAAAGAAGATTGAATTACATATGTTCGAAAATGCATAAATAGACTTTTCCTTGAAAACAATATGATAAATCAGCCAAATGAAAAATAATTAATGGGCACCAATTGACCCTCTCTCCCTTCTCCCGGGTTTTTTCATCGCTTTTATCACTAGGCTTCCCTTGTTTTTCAATATCCTGTGTATAGGGAGAAATCTCCAAACGCGCTACAGCTTGTGATGTATTAATGCTGAACAACAATTGAGTTTGAAGGATGAAAGTGTATCAAGAGAAAAAAATTTAATTGTTTTTTGCTACCATTTTCATCTACGTTTATTATTTATATCACAACACAAGAAGAGTAAGTGTTTTTCAAATCAATTTTGAAAGAAACAAGATAGATATCTGCAGTTTTCATCATTCGAAAGCAGAGATAAATCGGCATCGAATCTCTTGTTTTACATATTCATCATAAGCTATGCTTGAGTATCGAACTACGCTTTTGAAAAAAGGCCTGTTTTCCAGAAAATGCGACTCAACATTCTGATAAAGCTTATCATGAATATGTGAAAGAAGAGATTCGATTTAGATTTATCTTTTCTTTAGAATGGTGAAAACTGCAGATGTCTATCTTATTTCTTTCAAATGTTATTTCGAAAACATTTACTCTTCTTGTGTTGTGATATAAATTCTCATTAAAAAAGTGACACTTTCCATACTGAAAACTATATTTGCTGTTCAACGTAAATATATCATACAACGCAGCACGTTTGGATCTTTCTCCCTCTATATAGGAGGCTAAAAAACAAAATTACCCTAATGATAAAAATTGAAGGATGGAAAGTCCATTGGCGCGCACTGTAAGATAAAAGAATTTATTGATATCACATATATCGTAATGCAGCCATTATCACTTTACCATTTTCATTGTCAACATCCTTTTTTTCTTCGAAAGAAGACTACAACGTATTCCTTCAGTGTAAGCATGCACCATCTTTTTTCGTTTTTATCTTTATTAAAACATGCGTCTCAGAAAAGAAACAGCCTTATCACAAACTCTTTATTAGCAAATCTCTTTTATCTAAAACTGTAAAATGAAGACAAAAACAAGTATTTTTTAAGCATTAAGTTTCATTTTTCACTTGAAAAGATAAATGGGTTACATGAAATTCGACCCACGGAATTTTCGGCCCGGTCCGAAATTTCGGTGAATTTTTGGGCCGAGCCGAAAGTCCTAGAGGAATTTCGAGCCATCCTTAGAATGATCTCATTGACCCCTAAAAACATTTAATTTTTTTAATTATTTGCTAGATATCGTAGTGCTGAGCAGGACGGCGTAGTGCTGAGCTGAACGACTTAGTGCTGAGCAGGATGACATGGGCGTGGGCATAGCTGTGGAAGCTGATCAACGCAAAAAAGATACGAACATACCGCATACGCCTACACGCACACCAGCACCCAACAAGCTTACACCTACACCCACACCCATGATATTCTGCTCAACATTGCGCCATGCCGCTGAGTGCCACGCCGTCCCGCTCAGCACCACATCGTCCTGCTCAGCACTACGATATCTAGCAATTAATTACAAAAATTAAATTGTTTTTTTAGGGATCAATGAGGTCATTCTAAGGATGGGCCGAAAATCCGGGCCGAAAATTCCGTGGGCCGAAATTCTGGTCTCCCGAGGTAAGTTACTGTATATATTTCAAGTATCTATTTGATCTTTAGTTTTTAGTCTTATTATTTTCAATATCGATATGTTTCTTTTCACCATGTAGTTTTTCGTTGAAACATAGTTGTTTGAGTTTATAGAATTGATGATAGATTAAATCATATATAGTAAAGCCCAAGGGGGAAACAGCAGAGACTTCAGCCGTGAAGTTCCGTGAAGTCTTGAAAGTCTTTTGAAGTCTTCTGAAGTTTTTTGAAGTCTTCTGAAGTCTCTTGAAGTCTCTTGAAGTCTTATGAATTCTCATAAAGTCTCTTGAAGCCCCTGAAGTCTCATAAAGTCCCTTGAAGTCTTTGAAGTCTCATGAAGTTTCATGAAGTCTCAAGAAGTCTCATGAAGTCTCATGAAGTCTCTTGAAGTCTCGTGAAGTCTCTTGAAGTCTAATGAAGTCTCATGAAGGGGGTGGGTGTGGGTAGCTGCAGGCTAGGGGTGTCAGATCAGCATCAGCATTGCATTAATTAATAGTATTTTTAATGCTTTTGTATTAGAGTTAAAAAATTAACTTAATGCTTTTGCATTAGTGTTAAAAAAATAATTTAATGCTTTGGTATTAGTATTGAAAAAGTATTAATCTAATGGTAATGCTTAGGGTTCCCAAGAACAGAACAAAATTGGTTGCTTATGAGAATTTTTTTCCCAAAACAGAACAATTTTGTTCTGTTATGGGAAGCCGTTCCCAAAAAAAGAACGAAATTGTTCTGTTATGGGAAAAAATTCCCATGAGGGAACAATTTTGTTCTGTTTTTGGGAACTATAAGCATTACCGTTAAGTTAATACTTTTCTAATACTAATACCAAANGCTGCTACTCTGACCAGTAAACAATTAGTGTGTTTTGAATATTATTATGTCAATAGATCTATTTAGATGCATGGATTCTTACTGCCGGCATCAATAATGGTGTATCAAAATTGGTCGGCGAAGGTATTTCACATTATCGTCTCTTGCAAGAATATCCGAATAAAGTGAAATGTATTGGAATGACTATGTGGGGTACAATAAATGAAAATACACGTCTTGAACTTAAAAGTGCATCGAATGTAAAATAATGAGAATACATGTAAGAAACATAACATATGAAAGATGTTTTTATTTTATAGGGATTTCCAAAACCACTATGTGAACGACATATTCCAGACAATGTCCAAGAATATAAAGAAACAATCGAACGGAATCACACACACTGCATTTTATTCGATAGTGGTAGACTGAATGGATATCTCAATGATTCGCCGCGTCACCAATTTGTTATTGAAGCATGTAAACATAAAGATAATGATCATTCATGTATGTATTTGCTTATAAAGTTTCCTGTTATCATCAAAATCAATTGAATACATGTATATATAAAGGTTATGCCGTAACAATTATCGTCGAAGGAGGTTTAGGCACTCTTGAAGTTGTTGAAAATGATATTGAAGAAAAACGACCAATTGTTCTGATTCAAGTTCGTATTATAAAGTTTTGACTTATATTCGTTTTATTACAGTCAGATCAGTGATTCTGGGCCCCAAAAACCATCGGATCTCACTGTAACCGATCGGAAAGATACGAGAAAAAACATCGTATTCGGCATGAAAACATCAGAAACCGATGAAACATGAAAGCAATATTTTTGACCGGAAAGTCTCCGATTTTTTTCTGATGACTTACGACCATTTCCTGCCGGAACAAACAGACAGTTGGCCTAAATTCACCAAAAAAATTCAGAGACTTTTGAATACACAATACTGCTTCCAATTTCTATCGATTGTTGATGTTTTCCTATCGAAACCCGCCGATTTTTATTGACCTCAACAATCATTCAAATATAGGGTAGTGGCCGTTTAGCTGATGTACTCGCTATGCTAGTCGAACAGACGTCAAATTATGATCGAAACCAACATCGGTAATAAAACATAATGTTGTATTGGTTTTTACATTAGATATTTCTTCCACAGGACTCCATCCGATCAAGAAATTGAACAAGCTCTTGGTCTATTTTTCCATAGTGCTTCTTATTCAGATGCTTCTACAGTAAAAGGACAAATTAAAAAAATCCTACAAAAAGAACATCGTTATCTATTACATATTTTCTCTATGAATCGTGATAAAAATGTAGCTGAAACAATTTTCAAAGCTATATTTACTGGTATTTATTTATGACAAATAAAAATTTTTATTGATCGATCTTTATTTCATAGTTACAAAAGAGAGAAAAAAGAGTGAATTACCAGGGCAAGAAGAACAATTTCGAAAAGATGAAGATAAATTAGTAGATTTGGCACTTGAATGGAATTATTTTGATGGTATTTTACCAATATTACAGGCACGACAAGAAGAAATTATAAAAATGCAAAGAGAAACTATAGCGACAGGACATGGTTCCGAAAAGGTAAGACCCTAAATAAAAACATTTGCGGCCTAATACGATGTATAGGGCAGCAAAACAAACGATGAAGTTATTGAGAACGTTATAAACCTTTAATAATGACTAGTTTTAGATAGAACAATCAAATATTATCGTTAAAGTATTCGAATAAAAATAAAAAATGATCGTCAATGTGAATCCATTATACAATCATTAGTTTTACTACTCAAACTAATCATATTTAAAGTTATATTTCTAGCAAGAGCGTTTGCCTATTATATTTACTCTCACGCTCGTATCCGAATCGATTACTATGTAGTCGTTGCCACTAGATGATTACTAGTATTTTGATGAAACCTTGTTCTTACTCCACAAAACATATACCAAGCTACGGAAACTTTGAACAAGAACTACAAAATTTAAAAAATAGAAGTCCCAATAGATTTCATGCTGTTAGTTATTTAATAAATGTCTCTCTTCATATTTAAATTTCATCTCTATTTATTCAAAAAACAAATCTCATTTTAAGCTATATGAACTTGTATGATATTATATATATACACTAGTTTGTAAAAAAATTGGTCAACTGTTTTTCAATACTATTCTTAGGTTACTGATTTATTTCTATTAGTTCTACCATGGTTTGATAGTGGATAAAGAATTTGATACCATTTTCATCTATTTGAAGAAGAAATATAAGAGTTGTAATCACTACGGTTGTAGGCCACCTGAAAAACTAATATGATAATATAATAGTTCTACAATTAAAAGTTATATTAGAGGTCAGAACAGTGAAAAGCCAGCATTTTCAATAATGATTACAACATAAGAACTGTGAAATTAATTTAATCGTTCTAGAACAAAGGTATAAATAGATTACATTTGAAAATGACATTCGAAATGAATTAAAATTCTTGCAAAAAAAAATTGGAAAGACTAAAAACTATAGGTCATGTTGAGTGTATGACTTTCAAATATAACACTAAAAGTCTTTATTTTCTGTGATATTCAATGAAAATGATGTTAAAATAAATCAATACGAAGTGTTTTTTGTGCTATTCAATTCAAATCAGCAAAAATAAATGAAAATTACAAAAGAACTATGAAAAATGATAAGACCAGTTTTTTTGCAAATCATTGTAATATATAGGGTGTCCAGTCAGTCCTCAATCAAAGAAAAATTTAAAATATCTCCACAAGATTTTGACCAATTGGACTGATATTTTTATCACTGATTGAGGAGTGTTCATAGATCATACTCACAGAAGAAGCATTGACAAAACCTGTTTTGAAGCATCACAATTGACTTCAAGAAAGAGTTATAACCTTTCATGAGTTATGAAAATACAACATATTTATTCTCTAGGCAAGAATAAGCGACACATCGATGGTTTTGATTACTTTTCTACACTAGTGTCATTTGCTCTCAAATTTATACAGCAGATACATTTTTCGTTACTCTTTGCACATTGGAAGTTTCAACAATAAACAGAATGAATTTATTGAGAAAAGTGCTATATTGATTTTTTTTCTTAACCCGTGAAGGCTTATAATTCTTTGTTGAAGTCAGCTCTAATTCTTCAAAACATGTTTTGTTAATGCTTCTTATATGAATATGAACTATAAACACTATTCTGTCAGCGATAAAAATATCAGTCCATTCAGGCAAAAGTTTGTGGAGAGATTGAAATTTTTCTTTGATGAAGAACTTGCTGAACACCCTATAGACACATAAATATGTCGTATCAAAGTGATAGTGTTTATCAAGGTTGTGTTGTTTAAGTTGAACGAGCATAAATTGCACATTTGGATAGCATCATCCATCATCTGAATCATAGTTCGAGTAAATATTCCAGTGAACAACAAACATATTTGTTTTATAAAACCAATCATACAGAAGATGCTAGTTGCAAGGATAACACGAATGATGCTCCCCAACGATACTTGCTCCCCGAACAGTTGAGGGTGCAGGCACAAGTCTGAGTGAGGGTGAGGGCGTAGATGAGAATGGGGATGTAGGTGTGGGTGAGAGTGAGGGAAGACAGAGAGTGAGTTTCGGTTTTCATTTGGGCTTGATTTGAGCCTCGAGAGCAAATGTCACTGGGGAGCAACTGTCGCGGAAGCATCTGTCCAGGGAGCATCTTTCATGGAATCAGTTGCAAGAATGTGACAAGAGACACTCTATTTTTTATATTCCATTAACTCTTGTTTCATTCTGGAAGCAGAAATTTACAGCGTTCGAACGGTTATTGCAAGCATGAACACATCATTATTCAAAACAAAACTATAGATCGACCGTAATCAACAGGAGACACAAGCTTTCTTGTAAATTGTATATTAAACACTTATAAATCAAGATCACTAAGCTGATTTTGAAATTGAGACAATTTTTTAAACTAATATTAAACAATTTAATACGCTATCATCTAGGTATATGTATTCTAAGTGAATAGTACATGATCAATTTTTCCAAGAAAACTAAGAGTTAGTCGAATCGTGAGAATATGAATACAATGTCATAGTTCGATGGCTGATCTCTTTTCATCTTCAACTAATATTAAATACAAAAACCTTAATTATGCTTTTATGATTACAGTTTGCAAAGTTTTTCTACTTGAAACCGACAAAACAAAAATCATACTTTAGAAATGATAATATAAAATTTCACCAATTGAAATTTTCATCTTTTATTAGTATTTTCTTACCTTCTTCCAAATAATATCTTGTATATCTTTAATTTTGTGAAACACGATGTGGAAGGAGTGTTGAAGTATGTAGGGTAGAAATTTGCACTCTTCCACCTTCTTCCTGATATCGTGACAGATGTTGTTGATATACCATCAAAAACCATATATATATATAACTTCTTGTTCTAATATATGAACTATTTGGTTATTGCATTTCTGGAAGATTTAGTAAAAGAATGATGAAGAGAAGTACCCCAAAATAGGTAGAATAAAAGAATATCTCTCTAATTAGCAAAAACAGCTACATTGTGTCTCACATGTTAATCCTTTAAAGATTGCGCTAATAAATTTCTTTTTTCTATGAAACTACATATGTCTATTATTCAGCTGAATATTTACTCAAAGTATAATTCTCATTCTACTATCCAAACATATACATGTAGTTTTGTTCATTTAACTTAATTAAAACAACTTCAATAAATAATTTTATAGAAATTTTGACTGCCAAAAAGCTTCTATGAAGTAATAGCTGTGATACAAATGTTAAGTTCGATACGACATATTTATATGTATCTGAAAAAAAAAATTAATTCATATATTCTTTGATAAATTCTTTCAATATGGAGCAGTACAGGAAATTATTATTGTGAGCAAATTCTCTAGGTGTAAAGTGATGTATATAATCAAAAGTATTAACTATCTATGGTGTTTGATTTATTTTAGGAGGATAAAGAACAAGAAAAGAAATCATTCTCAAAGCAAAAGAACATGATCTTAAAGCTAAAGGACCTGTTCTTAAAATCCCTTAAAAAGAATCGTCCAACATTTATTAAATATTTTTTAATAGATGGTTTCGATGCAATATCTTTATTCGGGAAAGTTGATATTTCTAGTTATCAAAACTTTATTTTAGACTTATATAACAAAACTTATGATGAAATGAATAAGGTTTGTGTTTTGTTTTGAATCAATTCTTTTTTTTTTCTATTTAAACATTCTTTTTACTGCAGAGTCATAAATATCGTATAGAAACATTATTTGGTACATTACCTCTTAACTCAATACAACAAATGAATTATAAATTAAATAAATTTGTGGGCTCTTTTTTTCGGTCGATTTATTCCTTTAAAGATGATACTTTTAACACTTGTATTAAAATGGATTTGAGTAATTGTTTATGTACTTGCTGTAAATCAAACGGACAGATTGAAGATGTTTATGAATTAAACGTTATTAATAATAAAATACAACATGATCAAATAAACAACAAATACATAAATGATCAAAAAAACAACAAATACATAAATGATCAAAAAAACAACAAATACATAAATGATCACATGTTCCGTGATCTTTTTTTATGGTTTGTTTTTATGGATATGCCTGAAATGGCTAAAGTCTTACTTCTTCGTGTTCAATCTCGTATTTGTGCTGCTCTTATCGCTTCAGCTATATTTAAAACATATTCAAAATTATCTCAAACAGTTGATTTGAAAAGTAAATTTCGAACACAATCATTGGAATTTGAAACATATGCTGCAGCGTTTATTGATACATGTTATGAATATAGTAAACAACGTGCTTGTGAATTACTTTTACGACAAATACCACTTTTTGGTAATGTTACTTGCATGCAGGTTAATAAAGTCAAGTATTAAATTAAAACACAATAAAAAAAAATTTTTTCTTAGATTGCTATTGCTAGTGGAAGTAAAATAGTACTTAAAACAGCTTGTTTTGATCAAACATTAAATCAAGTATGGTATAATAAATTATGTTTGACTAATCGTCAAACACCAAAAAGATTATCACAAATTTCTTCGATTCTTACTTTTGGCTTGGTAGCACCTTGGATTATCAGTTATCGAGAAGAAAACAAAGAATCAATGAATGTATGTACAAGATTGATTTTCTTTTACATTGAAATTTCTTTCAAAATATTTCATTTTAGAATACAAAAGATGACCGGTGAGTCGAAATTATACTAATAACGTAAATATGTTATAAATGAATTATTTTGATTATAGTCTTTCTGAAGAAGGTATAAACTATTACGCTGATGAAAAAAGTCCAAAAGAAAGAAAACGCATAACTTATTGGAGACTTTTTCGATATTTTCATGAAAGTCCATTCATAAAAATGTCTTATCATTTTGTAAGTTAATATTTTAGTGTGTTTTTTACAGAAGAAAAAAAAATTTGCCGAATAATTTAGATTAGTTATGTGTGGTTTTTACTTGTATTTAGCTATATGATGCTTTACCATCTTGATGGTCGCAATACATTTACTATTCCTCATTGGACTGAAATTTATGTGATTTTTACTGTTACAACTATGCTTTGTGAAGAAGGTCGAAAAGTAAAATTAATCCATGTTTTGTAAGAAGACTTTTTTTCTTTGTTTTGTTATATAAAGTTTTATCATGAATATAATACACGCATGACTGAACGATGGGGCGCAACTGGATCTAGTATTTTAAGTGGGCTCACCATTATATTTTATATTATGCCTTATCTTTTGTTCTATTTGGGTCTTGGTTTTCGATATAGTAGTTATAATGAAGATTTACTTTCTACTACAAAGTTTGTTGAAAATTTGGAAAAGTTGATGATGAATTCTATGTATTTTAGAATTATTTGGGCACTTGATCTTGAATTATGGTATCTTCGATCAATTACGTTTGTTATGGCTTCAAAGTTTTTAGGTTCAAAATTATTTATGTTAAAAAATATTGTTAGTTAAGAAATTAATTAATAATAAATAATAATTTTTGTAATATTAATATAAATTTTAGCTTCGGGATTTATTTGCTTTTGTCTATATGATTTTTATAGCAGTAACTGCTTATGGGGTTGTATCTCGAGCATTGCTTCTTTATAAAGAAGTACCATTTACAGGTCGCGGTATTTTTAATCAAATTTTTTATGAACCATATTGGCTTATTTATGGAGAAGTGTCGGATAAAGACTTACTTGATAGTGATTATTCTTTTAGTTATTTGAAAATGATCTATTTATTTTTAATATATAGACATAACTAATGGCAACAATAGTAATACAACAGCTACTATTGCAGAAGTGACAGCAACACATGTTTTGTTAGTATTCCATATGTTATTTATTAATATTCTTTTACTCAATTTGATAACTGCCGTTTTTACGTAAGTATGAATTATAGATGTATAGAAATGAAAAACTCTGCTCGCATCTGACTTATTCCATATTTTCTCCAATTTCATAGTTCAGGGCCAATCCCACTGTAAACGAGCCATTAGCATGTTTGCCATATATCTCCAAAAAAAAAAGGTTGTATTCGAATGGAAATGCTATCGAGCTATTGATTAACTTTGAGCAAGTTATTTAAAGCTAATATTTTGAATCTTCCATCCGATACCATAGTTGTTTTTGCTTTGTCCGATACACTTTTTTGTACTTATCTACTTCTTTGATATTTAGAAGTACTCACGTTTATTTTCGAAGAAAATAATGATGAGTGGAAATTTAAATAGAGGTTTTTATGACCTAGCAACCGAAGTCGGAAAGCCATAGATTATTGTATAGGTTTCCATAGCAACGGGGTGGAGAGTGAGGGATGCCAACGAGCCACAGGCGCCTTCTTCTGGCATTGGAAGAAGGAGCATCAGTAACAGCAATGTTTAGATCATTCTGGAATATTCTAAAATCTTCCGAAACATTCTGCGAATCTAAGATTTCTGCTACATATTCAAGCTAGTCTAAATATTGCGAGCTTTGCTATTTAATACAGCCAAAGAACCTTATTGGAGGTAATAATTAGTAGGGTATTGCTATTGTTGATCTAACACAGCCATAATAGGATGGACATTTAAAAGTAGAGTAGTGATCAAAAGCGCCGCTACTAGATGAAAATTATTTAAATCTCCATCGTTTGAATTCATATTTTAAGAATAAATAGAACTCAATGAATCTTGATCATAGGTACCAACCTGAGCTTGATTGGTTGATGTTGACTGGAACTATTAGCTCAACAGTACCATCATTTTCTGAAGGTCATATATCAACAATTTTTCGACACTCAGTTTCGCGCGACTCCTCAATTGAAAGTCCAACACCGAAACAATCTGCGAAGAAAATTCTATGAAAAATTTCTTTAAATTAACGAAGATATAGTCTTCGGAATGAAAAATTCTGATAAACAGTTAGTCTTTGTCGTGAGTGTGGTATTAATAACTCGACTTAAGCATGGTCGATTCACTTGAAAATTTTAGTCATGACTTTTCATGAGTCTAGTAGTTGATAATAAAATTTTCAGAATCATAGCTCAAACTAGAGTCGAGATCGAGTAATCAAAAGAGCTGATTACGGCAGAGAATGCTAATCAAAGGAAATCTCAATATTTTTGAGGCAAGGTTTTGACTGAGTAAACTAGACAGGGAGCTGCAATTCTCACTAGAAAAAAAGTAAATAAATTGTAACAACATAAAACTACAAGTGAAAATTTATTGACATAACATTTTTGCTCAATTGTGTTCGATTTATTCAAGAACCTATCAGCAGTGTTGGCGTGTATAAGGAACTCTCGTACACGAGTCAATTGAGCTTTGGAGTTGAGGAAACATCCTTTTTAGGCTCGAACAGTTCGGTAATGGTATTAATCCAGCTAAGACTATAACACGGAAATTCTATAAGCTGAAGGCATCGGTTCTGGATGTGAAACCATCGCTCAATAGACGCATATCCTTCGCGTGAAAATTGTTCACAGTTTCTTGAATAAATCGAACACAATTGAGCAAAAATGTTATCTCAGTAACTTTTGATTTGTAGTTGGACGTTGTTACAATTTATTTACTCTTTTTCTAGTGCGAAATTCGCAACGCCCTGTGGGTAGTTTACTGAGTCAAAAAGGATTGGACAATATCCTCAAGAATTATAAAATTGTTCTACTTCTAGCAGAAATCTTTTGCTCCACACAAAGTCAAATAGGAATGCTTTTTCAGATGAAATCACCAACTAAAAACACTTTTTCCATTAGAAATCAATGTAATGTTTCTACTCTCGTAAGAATATATCTATTCGACATAAGAAGCAATTAATGCAATTATGTTCGAATATCAGAAGAAATGAGAAAGTTTACTTTTCTACTAGAAGATAAATTTCTAGGAGAAAGAAGCTTCATGCACTATGCATGTAAAGTTTTTGAGCATAAATCAATCACATGATGCAAAATGAGTGATGGGCTTCTTTTTGGATGCTTTTTCTTCATTTCTCGTTTTGGAAAGGTATCTCTAAGAAAAAGAGCGAGTCTTCTTTGAATTGAACTATTGGTCGAAGAACAGTAAGGGATATAAATATATGTGCATATTTTTTTCTATTTTTCCTACTTATGTATAACTTTATGTGGAGTGAACGATTTCTGCTTAAACGGGAACGATTTCTCCATCGAATGATCCGATGGTCCACTGCTGGAGTCAAAATCCTGCCTCAAGAATATCGAGATTTCCTTTGATTGGCATTCTCTGCCGTAATCAGTTCTTTTGATTACTCGATCTCGACTCTAGTTTGAGCTATGATTCTGAAAATTTTATTATCAACTGCTAGACTCATGAAAAGTCATGACTAAAATTTTCAAGTGAATCGACCATGGTTAAGTCGAGTTATTAATACCAGACTCACGACAAAGACTAACTGTTTATCAGAATTTTTCATTCCGAAGACCATATCTCTATTAATTTAACGTAATTTTTCATAAAACTTTCGTCGCAGATTGCTTCACTGTTAGACTTTCAATTGAGGAGTCGCGCGAAACCGAGCGTCGAAAAATTGTTGATATATGGCATTCCGAAAGTGATGATACTGTTGAGCTAACAGTTCCAGTCAACATCAACCAATCAAGTGCAGGTTAATACTTATGATCAAGATTCATTGAGTTCCATTTATTCTTAAAATATGAATTCAGACGATGGAGATTTAAATAATTTTCATCTGGTAGCAGCACTTTTGATCACAAGTGTGTGAGTCAATTGAATTCTAAGTTTAGTATAGTGTATGTACTATCATTGGGAGAAAAGAATTAATTCGTTGAAAATGTAGCTGACGATAGCGATAAGTTTTTAAAGTATAATGATGTCACGTGAATCTAATCAGCTGGTAAAATAGTAATTGAAAATGCAAACTTTTTCGAAAGGGTAAAATTTCTGAGCACGCATATCAACTACAAAAATTGTTATCATTTTGATGCATTCGTTTATCTACGATTTTTTAAAATAAACTATTTGAACCTCTCTGACAATATCACATAAATTTATAACAGTCAAAGTTTGGAACTTTTACACTTTGATCCCTCACGGAGTCGCACTGATGACGTTTTGCTGTAAGAAAAGAAATACACTGGTTGTAATGTACGAATCAAATCTCAAATAATTGATCGAGTAGAAACCTAATTTAGGCTAATTTTCTGTTACAGATTACTTTGTGGTAAATGATACGAAGATAGTTAACCCTTTACAGCCGGATGTTGCCATTTGGTAACATTAAGTCAATATTTTACGAAGGATTAACTTATAGTGATTATATAAAAATTTTTGACAATTTGATAATTAAGTTAACACATTTCAGCACATATTCATGCGTTCAGAAGTAGGAAAAAAATATTCACTAAGAAAATGGCCGGTTCCGCCCGTAATGCCCTGAAGTAGCATCCAAATCGTCAAAGTTTTTTTCCTAGGCCTCTGCACATTCAATGTCTAAGGCAATTAGTCGTTAATTTTCCTTTATAGAGCTATTGTATATTGCATCACTAAATAGTATTAATCAGTAATTCCGGACAATAAAAAATAGGAATGTTGCCGTTTGGCAACACCCGACTGTAAGGGGACAAAAATTTTGAAAAATTCATTTTTTTTTCATCTATCATAGTGCAATATTTTATGGTTTTTTTTTTCATCCACACCTCTATACTAAATCGTAGTTTGTATATTTGACCGTCTGTTGCACGTCAAGAGTAAAATATTTCTAGAATTCTCTACAACTTTTCAGAACAATGCGAAGTTAACCAGATCTATTCAGAAAAGTTCTAGAAATTCAGGAAAATTCTACAAAGTTTCANGCTGCTACTCTGACCAGTAAACAATTAGTGTGTTTTGAATATTATTATGTCAATAGATCTATTTAGATGCATGGATTCTTACTGCCGGCATCAATAATGGTGTATCAAAATTGGTCGGCGAAGGTATTTCACATTATCGTCTCTTGCAAGAATATCCGAATAAAGTGAAATGTATTGGAATGACTATGTGGGGTACAATAAATGAAAATACACGTCTTGAATTTAAAAATGCATCGAATGTAAAATAATGAGAATACATGTAAGAAACATAACATATAGAAGATGTTTTTATTTTATAGGGATTTCCAAAACCACTATGTGAACGACAGATTCCAGACAATGTCCAAGAATATAAAGAAACAATCGAACGGAATCACACACACTGCATTTTATTCGATAGTGGTAGACTAAATGAATATCTCACTGATACTCAGCGTGATCAATTTGTTACAGAAGCATGTAAACATAAAGATAATGATCATTCATGTATGTATTTGCTTATAAAGTTTCCTGTTATCATCAAAATCAATTGAATACATGTATGTATAAAGGTTATGCCGTAACAATTATCGTCGAAGGAGGTTTAGGTACTCTTGAAGTTGTTGAAAATGATATTAACGAAAAACGACCAATTGTTCTGATTCAAGTTCGTATTACAAAACTCTCAGTCATATTCATTGTATTACACCTATGACGATGATTTCATGGTTCAAAAATAATCTGATTTTACTGTAGCCGGGTTGGAAAGATGCGCAAAAAATCATCGTATTCGACAGAAAAATATCGAAAATCGGTAGAACATGGAAGCAATATTCCGGACCGAATAGCCTCAGTTTTTCTTCGGATGATCTACGGCTCTTTTCTGCCGGAACAATCCGAAAACTTTTCGATTCGAAATATTACTTCTAATTTCTATTGATTTTCAGTGTTTTTGTTGCCAAAGCTCACTCGTATTTCTTGATCTAAACAGTCATTCCAATATAGGGTAGTGGCCGGTTAGCTGATGTACTCGCTATGCTAGTCGAACAGACATCAAAGCCTGATCAAAACCAATATTGGTAATAAAACATAATGTTGTATTGATTATTACATTAGATCTTTCTTCCACAGGAATCCATCGGATGAAGAAATTGAACAAGCTCTTGATCTATTTTTCCATAGTGCTTCTTATTCAGATGCTTCTACAGTAAAAGAACGAATTAAAAAAATTCTACAAAAAGAACATCGTTATCTATTACATATTTTCTCTATGAATCATGATAAAAATGTAGTTGAAACAATTTTCAAGGCTATATTTACCGGTATGCATTTTGAGAAATAAATTTCCTAGTTGATAGATTTTTATGTGATAGCTACAAAAAATAAAAATAAATTAGAGAATCATCAGCAAGACAATACTGAATCACTGGAACAAGATAAACTAGTAGATTTAGCACTTGAATGGAATTATTTTGATGGAGCTTTACCAATATTACAAGCGCGACAAGATGAAATTTTGAAGATACAAAGGAAAATTATGAAGAGAGAACATAGCTCCGAAAAGGTAAGATCCTAAAGAAAAACATTTGCGCGTTAACACTAGGCATACGGCAGCGAAACAATCGACGAAATCATTGAGCACGCATAGACCTCTGATAATGACTAGTTTTCGATAGGACAATCCAATATTATCGTTAAAGTGTTCGAATAGAATAAAAATTGATCACTGATGTGAATTCATCATACACTCATTAGTTTTACTACTCGGACTGATCACACTTAAAGTTATATTTCTAGTAAAAGCGTTTATCTATTGAATTTACTCTCATGGTAGTATTCAAATCAATTATTCTAGAGTCATTGATACTAGATGATTATTAGTATTCCAATGAAACCTTCTCCTTGTTCGACAAAACATATTCTAAGGTACGAAAAGTGTGAACGAGAACTATAGAATTTCAAAAAAACATCCAAGTCTCGGTAGTTTCCATGTTGTTAGTTATTTAACAAATGTCACGTTTTACATTTCTATTTCATCTCTTCTTATTCAGAAAAAGATATCTCATTTTAACTAATATGAACTTGTATGATATCACGTATATATATATAGTAGTTTGAAAAAATAAGCTTAGTCTACTGTTGTTCAATATTATCCTAAAAAAATTGATTTATTTCTGTTAGTTCTACCATGGTTCAATAGCGCATAACGAGTTTGATATTATTTTTATCTATTCTAAAAAGAAATATGAGAGTTATAATCTCTACAGTTGGAAGTCACATGAACAACTAATTTGATAAGATAACAGCCTTGCCATAAAAGTTGTACTTACGATCAGACAAACGAAAAGCCAGCGTTTTCAGTAATGATCACAATATAAAAACTGGAAAATTAATTTAATCGTTCTAAAGCAAAGGTATACATAAATTAAATTTGACAATAGAATTCAAACTAGATAAAAAAATTCTTCAAAAAAAAAACCGGAAAGATTATAAAAACCAGTGCTCATTTACAGAAAAAATAAATGAACACTTGTGGACGACATTAATAGCTAAAAAAAAATAAGAACCAATTTCTGAATAAAAGTGCAATTTCTTTATGTAACTTCCGAATATAACATTAGGATCTTTTACTTTCTGTGATATTCAATGAAAATGACGTCAAAATAAATCAATTCGAAGTATTATTCGTTGTACACTATTCAACTCGAATCAGCAGAAATAAATGAACATTATAAAAGAAGTATAAAAAATGATAAAGCCAGCTTTTCTGCAAACGACTGTATGTAGATACGTAAATAATGTCGTATTGAAGTTATGTTGATTTAGTTGAACGAACATAAATTGCATATTTGGATGATATCATCAGAACCATATTTCAAGTAAATATTCAATTGAATAGCAGACATGTTTTCTCCATAAAACTAATGATACAGAAGATGTTGGTTGCAAGAATATGAAAAGAAACATTGTATTTTTTGTATTCTACTAACCATTATTTCATACTGAAAGCGGAGATTTACAGCTAGTCAAAAAGATTATCATGAGTATTCACACGTTATAATTCAAAATCGAAAGATAGGGGATAGTCAATCAGAGCGCAAGTTTTCTTGTAAATTATATACTAAACACATATAAACCAAAGTTTTTAAGTTAATTTTGCAATTGAGACAACTTTTAAACTGATATCAAACAATTCAGTCTGCTTTCACCTAGCTATATATTATAAGTGAACAGCACACGACTAATTTTATCCAGAAATCTTAGAATTAGCCGAATCTTGAGCACATGAATAGGATGTCATAGTTCAGTGGTTGACCTCTTTTTATTTTCTACTAAATGCGAAAATCTTGATCGTTTTCCCCTGGTTTGATAATTTTCAGAGTTTTTCTACTTGAAACTGGTAAAAACGGAACTCATATTTCAGGAATGATGATATAAAATTCAAGTAATTGAAGCTTTTCATCTTCTGTTGGCACTTTCTCACCTTCTTCAAAATAATATCTTGTATATTATTGTTTTGCTTTTGTAGAAAACTATGTCTGCTATTCAGCCGAATACTTACTCAAAGTATTATTCTAATCATACCATCCAAACATATAGTTTTTACTCATGTAACTTAATCAAAACAACTTCAATAAATAATCGTATAGAGATTCTTAGTTCTATAAAACATTTTTTCGGAATCATAGGTGTGATACACATGCTAAGTTTAATTCAATATATATTTATATGTATCTGGCAAAAAATGAATTCTCATACATTCTTTGATAAATTTCTTCAATATAGAGCAGAACAGGAATTTATTATTGTGAGCAACTCTTCTAGATGTAATTCTATATATGTATATATATAGAATTAAACGTATTAACTACCTATGATGTTTGATTTATTTTAGATAGATGAAGGAGAGCAAACGGAATTGCTGTTAAAACAACAGAAACTATTCTCAAAGCAGAAAGAACTGTTCTTAAAATCTCTTAAAAAGAATCACTCAACATTTATTGAATATTTTTTAATAACTGGTTTTGATCCATTAACTTTAGTTGAGGAAGATAATATCTCTAGTTATCAAACATTTATTTCAGACTTATATGTCGATACTTATGATGCAATGAGTAAGGTTTGTTTTTTGTTTTGAATAAATTATTTTTTTTTCTATTTAAACATTTATTTTTATTACAGAGTCATAGAAATCGTATAGAAACATTATTTGGTGAATTACCTCTTAAATCAATACAAGAACTTAATTATAAGTTAAATAAATTTGTGGGTCCTTTTTTTGGATCGATTTATTCCCCTATAGATGATAGTTTTGTCAGCCGTATTAAAATTGATTTGAGCAATCATGTATTTACTTGTTGTAAATTGCATGAATATGTTGAAGATAATCATGACTCAAAAGGTAATCATGATAATGGAAAAAATAATCAAACAAACAACAAATATACAAAGCATCACATGTTGCGAGATCTTTTTCTATGGTCTGTTTTTATGGATATGCCTGAAATGGCTAAAGTGTTACTTCTTCATGTGCAATCTCGTATTTGTGCTGCTCTTATCGCTACAACCATATTTAAAAAATATTCAAATTCGTCTGATACAGTTGATTTGAAAAGTAAATTTCTAACACAATCATTGGAATTTGAAACATATGCCGCAATATTGATTGATAAATGTTATGAACACAATGAAAAACGTGCTTGTGAATTACTTTTACGACAAATACCACTTTTTGGTAATGTTACATGCATGCAGGTTAATCAAATTAAGTATTAAATGCAAAGATGCTTAAAAAGATTTTCCTTTTCTTAGGTTGCTATTTCAAGTGAAAATAAAAAATTACTTAAAACAGCTTGTTTTGATCAAACATTAAATCACATATGGTATAATAAATTATCTTTGACTAATCGTCAAACATCAGAACTATTATCACAAATTTCTTCAATTCTTACTTTTGGCTTGATATCACCACGGTTTATCACGTATCGAAAAGAAAATGAACAATCATTGAACGTACGCAAAAAAATTGTCTTTTTTTGTAATTAAAACTTTTTTCAAAATATTTTATTTTAGTATATAAAGGATGATCTGTGAGTTGAAAATGATTATCAAATATAAATATTTTATAAATGAATAATTTTGCTTATAGTCTATCTGAAGAAGGTATAAACTATTATGTAGACAAACAAAATTCAAAAGAAGGCAAATGTACAACTTATTGGAGGCTTTTTCGATATTTTCATGAAAGTCCACTGATAAAAATGTCTTATCATTTTGTAAGTTAATATTTTAGTTTTTTTTTACAGAAGAAATAAAGATATTTTCGATTAATTAAGATCAGTTATGTGTGGTTTTTACTTGCATTCAGCTATATGATGCTTTATCATCTTGATGGTCGGAATACATTTACTATTCCTCATTGGACTGAAATTTATGTAATTATTACTGTTTCAACTATGCTTTGTGAAGAAGCTCGAAGAGTAAAGGGAATTTATCTTTTTTCGAAAAAAAGATTTTTTTTTTCTTTGTTTTTTTAATATAAAGCTCTATTATGAATATGATACACGCATGACTGAACGATGGGGCTCAACTGGGTCTGCTATTTTAACAGTGTTGTCGAATATATTTTATATTATGCCTTATATTCTTTTCTATTTTGGTCTTGGTTTTCGATATGGTAGTTATAATGAAGATTTACTTACTACTGCAAGGTTTGTTGAAAATTCTGAAAAGTTAATGATGAATTCTAGATATTTTAGAATTGTTTGGGCACTTGATCTTGAACTATGGTATCTTCGATCACTTAAATTTGTTATGGCTTTAAAGTTTGTAGGTCCAAAATTATTTATGTTAAAAAATATGGTTAGTTAAGAAATTAATTAATAATAAATAATAATTTTTGTAATATTAATATAAATTTTAGCTTCGGGATTTATTTGCTTTTGTCTATATGGTTTTTATAGCACTAACTGCTTATGGAGTTGTATCTCGAGCATTGATTCTTTATAAAAAAGTACCATTTACTGGTTATGGTATTCTTAGTCAAGTTTTCTATGAACCATATTGGTTTATTTATGGAGAAGTGTCGGATAAAGACTTACTTGATAGTGATTATTCTTTTATTTATTTAAAAATGATCTATTTATTTTTAACATATAGAAATAATTAACAATGATAATGTTAGTACAACAGCAAATGGTGCAGAAGCGACAGCAACGCATGTTTTGCTGGCATTTCATATGTTATTTATTAATATTCTCTTACTCAATTTGATAACTGCGGTTTTTACGTAAGTATGAATTATAGATGTATAGCAATGAGAAATTCTGCTTGCATCTCACTTATTCAGTATTTTTGCCTATTTCATAGTTTAGTGTCGATACCACTGTAAATGAGTCATTAGGATATTTGTCATATACCTCAAAAAATAGTTGTATGCGAATGGCGATGTTGTTAAGCTATTTAATAACTTTGAGTAAACTATATACCGCTAATATTTTGAATGTCAAATCCGATGCCGTAGCTTTTTTGCATCAATCTTACTTCTGATATTCTTTGTGGAAGAAGGCAATACATTGATAGTCATGGATAAATATAATCTTAAATAATCGATCAAGAAGATTCCAATTTTTTACCTAATTTTCTGTTCGAGGTCACTGTTTAGTAACTGATAAGATGTTTAATAATGTGTGAACTTTGTTTACTTTTAATTCTATCAGCTAACTTTAAGTTGCATTCGTTTGCTGTAGTCTTAGCCATTATCAAACATCGTTCTTATTCTGATTCGCATCCTATGTATGGTATTATTTTAGATGATTCTATCAACATAGTCATCAATAAAAAAGTAGATTTTTTTTCAATATGAAAGTTCAATATGTCTCCAAATAAATATTTTTATTTCGAAATTTCGAATGCTTTTCTATTATTCAATCTAGCCATTCAATTGATGAAGTTCGAGAAAATACAGATTTTTATTGGCGTTATCAACGTTATTCATTTGTAAGAGAATATTTTGAACGTTTGCCATTATCTTATCCTCCATTAATTGCAATTTCACATATCATATTACTTTTTTTGACTATTCGACGTATATGTTGCTCGAAATTTGGTCGAAATCGAGTGACCACTAAAAATTATGTACCATTGTCAAAAAAGTTCACACGTGTCTTTAGTAAGTTTCAAAGAATCTTCTTTATTTTAAAGTTATAATACATATATATATATTAATAATTAATATAGAAATGATTCCTACGGATGATTCACAAAATGAACAATGGGATTCTTTTGAAAATGCTGCAACGTATAGTTATGCTCGCTTGGTATTAGAAAAAAAATAAAAACAAAGATACTTTAACAACCTGTCATGGAAAACCAAATGGAAACAATGACTATCCAAGCATAGAAATTAATGACACAACAGTGTTCTAACGCATGGAATCCAGAAATAAAAAAAAAATGTCTTGTAACTCATTCACTTAACAAATAAAAAAGGGTGTGGGTGTGGGACGGGTGAGGGTAGCCACAGTGTTGGTTTCGATGGGGTATGAGTGTGGTTAAACAGAAAGTGCAAACTAAGAGTCACACCCACCAATCTACACCCACACCGATACAAACACCTTTGCACCGACATCCGACCCCTGCAGTAAAATCCTACAGTTTGCACACGAACCATACATGTGTTTTCATCCTTGAAACGGTGCTCTAAACCCCTGCCATATCCTTTCACTTCAATTCGTGATTGCTCCGACTGGATGATGGTGTGGGTATTATTTATTAAATTGATTAGCTTTTGAACTAAACCGTGATGTAAATTCTGCTCTCGAAAACCTTTCAATGTTTTTCCTTAGTACGGTTGAGTATTCAGGTGACAGCCGCTACCACAATAATCTAAAAAATGTCAAACGTCATGGAAAAAAAGTTATGGCTTTTGAAAATGGAAACCAGTACGAAGGTCAATTTTATCATAAAAACAATCATGACCAAGGAATTTTTGTATATGGTTGTGGCTGTCGGTATGATGGCCAATTTTGCAATGTTAAGTACCATGGCGAAGTAGCTTATATTTCTTCGTGTTGTATTCATACGTTCTATTCTTATAGTGGTGAATTTGAGGATGATAAGTTCAATGGTGGCTTTTACATAGGTATCCTTATGACAGGCATACGTCATGGTTCAGAACTTTTTATGCTTGCTAATGATAATCGATTCTAGTGTCAATTTGACAATGGCAAATGTAATTGTTATGGCACTCTCAAGTATACACATGGTGACTGTGACATGAAAGAATTTAACAATGATAAATTCCACGGTCAAGACATTTTTATGTTTCATAAGGATTATCGTTTTGCTGGATGAAGAAAATAAAATTTTTGACTCTATACTGAGTTTTTGTAGATTGAATTTCGAAACAGTTTTAACTCAACATTTTATAGAGTATTCCATTCTGAAACAAATCACATATTAAAAATAGACTTGAATTAAAGCAAAATCAAAGGTTATCGGCAGTTTTCTCAGAATTACTTTCTATGTAAAACGATGTACTGCCAAAAATTATTTTTTTTTAAAATTTATCATTTAGGAAACAACAGATTTCTTATCGTTATTTCCAAATATAAAAAAAAACCAGGAAAGAATAGTTTTTGTAGTGCTAACTTGAACCTAAAAAACAGGCACATCCAATGACTTTTCATGTTTAAGCTTGACCAAGTTTTTGTGAAAATATGAAAGTAATTAAAATAAAATTCTATTCTATTCCAAGGTCATTTTTTTGATTTTGTCAAACATTCATTCGCAATTAATCAATTTCAAGACAAAAAAGCAAGTGTTAGCAAATATTTAAAGAGTACACAATCGTGATTTTCAATAGTTACTGATAAATTGTTGAAGAATAAACAAGCATTTTGCGTCAAGACTTTCATTCTATACGTTAACTTATATAAATCAATAGATAGTGTAATTTTTTTCCTGGCTTTTTAATGAACCACGTATATGAATGAATGAAAAACAAAACGAGTAATATAAAAACATTTCCAGCTGTTCAAAGTTCTTTTATGTTTTGAGCTAGCTGAAAGACAATATTTCCTCTTAAGTAAACTTTTAAAGAATAAAAATCAGTAATTTATATTTTAAAGAAAAAAGAATTGATCATAGAATCTAGAGATCATATTTCATTTTAATAAAACTCAGTTATCTATACAATTAAATTCGATTGATTCAATATATCTATTGAAATTTGATATCTTATTCAATTGATTTCTGTTTTATTATTATCTTTATTGAATGAGAAAAAAAAACAATACGTTGGAAACAATTTGTTGATGGTAAAATAAAATGATGGTTATATGATATTCATACTTTTCTGAAAATTAAAATTTATATAATACAACAGAAAAGGAATGAAATATTTTTGTCTATTTGATTATATGTTTTTCTAATTTCTTTGTTAATAGAGAATTTAAACTCATAATATTAGTTAGCTACTGATAATTTTTTTTTTTTATTAATAAACACAAAAAGAAATATAAATATATATGAAAAATTTATATACGTATTTGATATACTGATGTATCATAATTGTCATCTTCATCAATACTAATTTTATCAATAATATAATCTATATTATTCGACTGATTGATGGTATTATTTACCATCGATTGATACGAGATATTTGTTTGATGAATATTATCTAAAATAATAAAGTAATATTTTACCATTATTTTTATCATATGACGATCAGAATAAATTCTAAATTAGTTATATATATATATAAATTTTCTGTGTCAATTAAACTAAATAATAGAATATTTCAAGGTATTTGACAAATAAAAGACTTTCAAATACTGAAATAGAGCTTGACAAAGCATAAGATGCAATTTTCCTAAGACAGAAATATAATATTTCATCATTTTTTCTCTATCGAATCCATCGAAATGACACACAATTCCTCATTATTATATTGAGTTAATCCTTGAGACTTAATCCAAACTTTACAAAACCTAACACCGGTCTATTTGGTGTATCTGTTATAGTCAAATTGCAAAAAATTTAGATATAAAACAGTTATTAATCTCGTTACCTTAAACAACGGATGTTTTTGTTGTACTATAATCATTGTATTAGTTTAACAATTCAATTTATAGAAATAACCAAGCATTAGATCAAGATGAATCTCAAAATTATATTAAAAACGCTAAATAAATATCTATGAGGACATACCAAGTGAACGAGCTTTTGTTATTAAAATTGATTCTTTTGTTAAATTTCTATCAATAATTGAAGATTTAGGTAATGAAGTTAATGGTTGATAAGAATAACGTCTTGCAGGAGGTAAATGCTCGAAAGTTAATTCCCAAGTACCTAAATAAAAATAATAGAAAACAATATAAAATCATGAATACATACGAATATCAACAATATGTTGTTGTAATGCTCGAATCCAAATATTTAATGTAAATAAATCTTGAACAAAAAATTCTGCTTCATCAAAACCTTGAGTATCGATGACAAATGATAATTGATCATCGTATGATGAAATGCTTGTTTCCTAAATTCAAATAACAACAAACCAACGTAATAATCATCAAAAATAGATCAATAAAAACTCAACCGATGTAATTGGTATTGAAAATCGATGTTGATCTGAAAATTTATCTCGTTTTATTTCTTCACCTTTTAAAAATCCTGCTATTAAAGTACATGAATATCGTACATTGTCACTTTCTAAAACTCCAGCTAATACTGCCGGACTTGCATAGCATAATGGTTCAATAGTAAAACGTGCAATAAAAGATGTGTGAATTGGTAATTGCATAAGAGGATTTTCTTGTATACGTTCCATTCTTAAATATCGAACTTTAGCCATTTTATATACAGATTCTTTTGTAAATATAGTTTGAGCAATTAAAACAAATTTCGATTGTTGTTGAATTGATGATTTATGCTAAAATTTTATTTTTACTTTTATTCATTTAAAAATTTTCAATATCTTACATTTGTTGAGTTAATTTCTTTTATTTTTTGTGTTGATTTATGTGATCCACCATGTGTAGAAAAATAACTATAACGATTAGCAAAATCTTTTACTGATGATGATAAAGCAAGACTTTTATTTAAAGCATAAATTTCCAAATGCAATTGAAAATCATGTGGAACATTATGGCTTAAATATTTAAAACAAAAATAATAAATATGAACTAAATAAATATAAATCTTACAAAATAAGTTTATCTGTAAAAAGTATTTCTGTTGATTTTTTATCAATAGATTTCATTTTTGTATCGATTATTTCACATCCAATACGTGCCAAACAGAAAACAGAGAATTTTTTTTGTTCTGAATTTTGTATGTAAAATTTATTCATGCATAAATTTAAATAAAACTTCTACCTGATTTTGCTTTCATACTTGTCCATACTAATGGTAAACGAATATCCGACAGAGTAACTGTTGCTTTTGTTGGTTCAGGACTTCGAAATGAAATTTCAAATATTAACAAAAAAACAGTGAAATTTTAATAAATTAATCTTCATACTTAGTATTATCACGTTTAAGTAAATTTTGTTGTTTTCTTTGTATTTCAGTCATAAATGCTAACATACGTTGTTGAGAAAGAACAAGAGCTTTATGGCATTCAATTGTTTGTTCAAGTGTTGTAGCCACATTGAGTAATTTACTAATTCCATCTATCATCTTGACTTCACAATCAATTTTACGTTCTAATTCAGGATCCTTTTTTTGTATAAAAAATTTTTAATTATTAGTTTTACTTTCCTTTTTTTGTTTTCCTTTTACATACCCAAATAAAAAATGAAACAACTCGTTTTTCACTATTGTGATGAGTGCTCATTGGTTCCATTTTCGAGAAAAAAAGACGAAGAAATTAGCTATAATTGATTTCAATAGATGAGAAGAAAAAAAAATGAAACTATGAAAGCAAAAACAAATGAAAATGTCACATTTTCTTCGGCGTTTGAAATTTTTTCTTCTTTGCCTTTTTTTTTGCTTTCCGTCTTGTATTTAAATGCAGAGTGACATGAGAAGAAGGCAAATATGTACTGTTTAATAATTGAGAATTTCATCCTACACAAAAAGCACGTCTATGTCAGTGAACGGGTGTCTCAGGGATAAATTTCGATTCACTAAGCATTTTTCTTTTTCGAAATATATTATGATACCATGTTTCTTTTTAAACATAAGTCGAGTGACTCAGTATCCTTTCTTTTTTTTTCTATGTAATGATAAAGTAAAGAAAAATAAATCCAAGGATTTTGATCTTTATTTATTTTTCAAGATATGAAAAAATTATGTATGATTTTTCATTTGAATAAGAAAAAAAACCATATTTTAGCTTTGATAAAAATATATGATAATTGCTTTCTGTTTTTTTTTTCTAAATTTTAATGTAAATTAGTTTGTTTGACATAAATACGAATTTAATGATGATTGATTGAAAAGAAATAAATCCTTTTTCTTCATGAAAAATCAAACTAAAAAAAAACATCACATTTATCCTGGTGAGACAGTACACAGTAATACAACACCTATAATTTTAAAAAGAAAAGTAAATAAATCATTTAATAAATTTCATCTTACAATATTTTTCAATATTAAAATTGTTTTCCCTGTAAAAAAAAACATTCTGAAGGATGAAAATCATCTTGTCCATGGTTGTATTTGAAAAACAAAAGAAAACATTCAATTTATCGTTCAAGACGGTTTATTCAAACGTTTCATAATAAATCAAAAATTTATATACTATATACTTCGTGATATTAATTCTTTCTTTGTTTCTCTTATGTAATACAAAAGAACAAAAAAAGAAAAAAAACACAATGTGTACGTGACGGGAGTGACAAATTGAGTAAATAATAGGCAGAAATAATAATAATAATAGACACAAAGAAAGTCCTTTTTTTCTATATTTACACAAACATACATATACTTAGTACTATCAAATTGATAGTAAAGGACGGCGCCGTTTTGTGTTTGTTTTTTTTTTCTTTTTTGTATCATTCACACGGGACAGTGTACACACTAGCAACCATTCAAAAGAATCAGACAAATGAAAAAAAAATGCAACTCGGGACTGATTTTGATCATCATATGAAAAAAAAATCATAGATACATAGACACAGACACACACACACACAGATATGAAAAAAAAAGAAGACGCTATTCTACATAATAAGATCTGGCAACACAGAAACCATGGAAAGGTCAAAAAAACGCGAGACAAATATCTGAGGAATGTATAATGATAAGGACGGAGACTAAATGGAAGCACGCGCACGTCGTTAGATTCAAAAAAACACAGACGAAAATATTATCAGTTAATTTTTATTTCTAATGTGGATGTTGCTGCTGTTGTTGTTGTAACATATCAACAAAAGCAGCATTTAAATTAAAGGAAGTTGGTGATGACGGAACCATTGTTGGTGGAAAATTATTAGTATTATTATTTGATAATGATGAAGATGAATTCATTCGTTTGGTTGCTTGTAAAACTTGATGAGAATCAAGTAACATTTGACTTTTAGGTGGTCGACCAGGACCACGTTTTTTTGTTGCCATTAATGGCATATCAAGTCCATTACCTGTTCCTCCTATAACATGTGATAATTTCGAAGTATTTGTTGATGCTGGTAAACTATGACGTGTTTGTCCAGCTGACTGTTTGACCATTGACGCTGGTGCCCCACTAAACAAGTTTTTGCTTTTTTCTCAAAAAAACATCTTTTTCTAATAGAATTTTTACTTACTTTCTTACGACTGGAGCAGCAGGTATGGGCGGTGGTATTGATAAACTAGATTGATGTCCAAGCATAGATGCTAATGCTGATTGAAACGCTGCAGATGATGTTCGTGGAGAATTTCCAGTAACACTATTTTCGATTGCAGCAAATAACTGATCATATGATGATGGATCAAGATCATGTGATGGTAGACCAGGTATAATTCCACGTTCAGTAACATATTTAGGTGGTCTTCCTCGACGTCTTGGTGCAAAATTACCACGTTCAAATGGTGATGTATTTGCAGATGAATGAGATGTTGGTGGTATCATGTTTGTACTTGAACGCATTATTTGTGGTTGTGTGTGTTGTTTTGGTGGACGACCTACTCGTTTTGGTATTGTACCGGGTGATGTTAAACCAAGTAATTGTTGTTTAAGTAAAGATGAACTATCGGTATCATTTGAATGTGTTGACATCATTAATTGTTGTGTCATTTGCCATAGAAGTTGTTGATGTTGTTGTAATGATAATGATGTTGTTGGTTGAGATGATGATGATAATGTTTCAGATGTTTTTTGTCGTTTAGCTGATGGTGGAGAAGAAAATGATGATGATGAATGTTTATGTTTGGTTATTTGTTGTTGAGAATTCAAATGCATCATTTTAGTAAATTCATTAAATAATGTAGATGAATCCGATAATTTTGATGATGATGATAAAGATTGTTGAGATTGAGATTTTGAGGATTTTATGCTAAATATGTAAACATTTTCCTTTTTTTTATATCAATTGACAAAGAAAACGTTTTTCTACTACTACAAAAAAACCATAGAAGGTTTCATTGATAAATAGGTATGAGATTCTTATATGGATTCTTCATAAATACAAGTAGTTTTGTAGAAAATAAACTTTTCAGTTTACACAATCGATGTAAAGTTAAGTTTTCATTTTTAGGACTAAATTCAATTTGATTACTCATAAGTTTAAAAGTTCATCTAATTGATCTACGAATTATTGCGTATACGAAATCGAATGAAGACAACACAAAAAAGAAAAATGAGTCAAACCAACTGTACAGATACGGTGTGAATTACGATTAGATATGAAAATTAAAAATGAACTCCGTGACTAAAATAAAACATTGATAAAAACTATAATCAGATTGATAACAATCAAAGATGTATTCATAAGATGAGATTAGTCCCTTCTTGATAGTCTCTCACGATTCGAACAATTTTTATGAGATGAAATCAAGTTTTACTTCATAGTGACATTCGTCGATCATAAAATTCCCATCTGCGTGTTTAATAACTAATACCGAAAGCCTATGCAGAAATGTGATTGATACTGTTTTCTCTAATTGTGATAATCACTTATAGTTGGTATTAATCCTTCTTTGAATAAATATGCTAAGATAATTTGAATTTAATTAATTAAAATTTACCTGTTTGTTTGAAGAAAATCACTAGTATTATGTTTTCCATTAGTAATTTTTTGTTCTCGTTTTTGTATAGATTTAGTTACACCATTTGTTGATTGCTTATGATATAGATATCCATTATTTTTACTATTATTTATTTGTTGTTGTTGTTGTTTAAAATTTGTTTGTCGTTGTTGTCTTATATCTCGTACAATTTTTGTAACAATATCAGCTAAAATATCATCAACAATTTCTAAAATATTATCATCATCATTATAATAGTTATTATTATTATTTTCATCATAATCATCTTGATTATTATCAATTAAATGTCTAGATAATAAATCTAGTTGAATACAATTTTGTTGTTTATGTTGATAATATTCATCAATATGATTTTCATTATTTAAATCATTATTATTATTTTCATTGACATCTTCTTGATCAGATGTTAATATTGATTGTTCATGATGAAGAACACTTGATGAAGATTTTGATAATGACAATGGTAATAAACGTTGTTGTGGAGTTTTATTTATTTGTGGAGATAATTGTAAACGACGTGGTACGCCTTTTCGACGTCCACCACGTTCAGATTGAATTGTTTGTTGTTGTTGTTGTGGTGGTGGTGGTGGTATAAGAATTTCTTGCTCATCTTGATTTTCTTCATCATCAATATCATCTTCTTCAATTTCATCTTCATCAATTTCATCTTCCGGATATTGTTGAATTTGATCATAATTTTGTAAAACATTTTCATCATCAACAACATTATCATCATCCTCATCTTCCTCTTCATCATCCTCATCTAATTCATCTTCTTCATGTTCAATTTCATCCTCCATATTAATTGAATAATGATGTCCATTACCATTGCTATTTAAAAAAGGTAATAACGATGGATCATCCATAAAGCAACAGAAAAAAAATTAAATAATGAATTAAATCTTTAAAAAAAAAAGGCAAATCTCATTATTAGTAACAAAGAAAACGCGCGAGTATGCGCATTTGTGCTGTCCGTGCCGACCGAACGATAGTTATGTGTGTGTGCGTGTATGTGCATAGATAGAAAATTTAAATCTTTTTCGCGTTCTTTTTTTAGGCTTTTTTTTTGTCCGTCCAACCTGCCGTCAGTCAATCACTCGACTACTAACCCGTTCGCTTTCACTTTCTCTCTTTCTCGTTTGTGTTCGCGATTTATTTTCATTTCTTTTCTCTCGTCGTCCGAAACAATGGATTCAAATTCCATCCATCAAAAATAAGAATTTAGTGACATCTGTATAGAAAAATATTTTTTTATTTGATTTTAATAAAATAAAATAAATGATTTTTTTTCTCGTTTTTAAAATCATTTATTGTTTTCCTTTGAAATAAAACTGAATGGAAAAATGTAACTATAGTAACAAAATTTCGAATTTAAAAAAAAAAATATTAATAGCTTTTGAATATTTATTTTATATTGAATAAGATAATTTCTTTTTTTTTTTTTCTTATAATTTTCTTGTATCCATTAATCAATATTTGATTTAACACTTCGTGTTTTTATATAATAAATATATAATATAATGTTTGTTCGTATTTGTATATAAAATTTGACAAACAATCGAGAAATTTCTTTTTTTTTTTTTGATTTATTTTGTATTTAAGCTTTACTCATCGATCGACCAAATGATTCGATTGCATATTTGATTGATTCCTTTTTTTTTTGAAAAAAAGGCGAGATGCCAATGGTTAATTGAATAGATTCGAGTACTTTTTTATTTATTTGGATTTAATTTGAATATGAGTACTGAAAATTACTATTCTCAATCTATTAATATTCAGGTAATATACAGTCGAGATATTTGTATAGAAAAAATAAAGTGTAATTTTATAATTGAATGAGCAGGACTATTAAGTTATATATACCAAATTTTAACGAAGTTTTATGTATTTAAGCTTGGTCATGTAGAATAATAATTCATAGCATAATTATGGACTCAATTAAATGAAGAACGCTGGACAGAATGTGATTATATTTGTCATGGAGAGTTTTTAGTTAATTTTCTAATTAATCAAGAACAAATATTGGAATGAAAGGTTTGAGAAATATGTCCAAAACGGTTTGGCAAATGTAATGTTTATGAAAATATCATCGAAATCAGACGTATATCAACCTCAAATCTTTTGATTTCTTAGTTTTTCATGTAAATATATCGAATAATTAGACTTCCAAAACTATATTTCATTAATGAAACCAACTTCGAATCTTACGAAATGTTTTACTATTAAAACTCAGTCTATTATTACACGAGTTGTTAAATTATAATTTTTATTCTTCGGTATACACATTGTTGCAATCTTAGAGTTTTGATTCTTATTTCTTCTATTGTCATTAAAACACTTCTTTTAATAAATATTATTACTCGAGAAAGATATGCTTCATCTTGAAGAATTTTGTAGTCACGTTTTTCCTTAATTGATTGATACAAGAGTATACTAAAAGTCAGTTATATCAATTTTAATCAAAGTTAGAAATTTGTTTTCTCTAGTACACTTTTCAAGTCAAACGGCATGTTATGGTTGATAAAGACAATTGTAAAAATAATGAATTTATTTAAATGGAAAATATCATCGCTTCGAAAGTTTCGAATGATCAAAAATAATTTATTCAATAGAAATTACAGATTTTAACTTAGAAATTACAATTTTGAATTTATTCATAGAAATACTTGTAATCAACTTTAATTCCTGTCTGATTATGTATATATACATGTTCATTGTTAGTATGCATTGAGTCAACTAATAATGTTTTGATTTGCATCAGTTAGTGAAAAAAGAATTCATTTCAAAACCAAAAGGTACATTTATAAGACAGCATTTTTCTTTTCCGACGCATTAGTATCCTTTTGATAGTTATCAGCAGAAGTCGCGAAAGAGGGAAGTAACATTGAACGGTGTACAGTTCCACACAACTGAAAATTAGTTGTTATTATCATGTAGAACTAGCAAGAATTTTTTGAATTTTTCGCTTCCTTTGTGTTGAGTTTGCCGGATTGGTTCCGGACTCGAATTCAATGGATCATACTCTACGAATGACAGCCAATTATGACTTGATTGTTATAGGATCATCGTCAAGAATGTCTGCGAAACGTGTGAAGTGTTTTAGTAGCAGAATACAAATAATCGATAAAAAGAATTTCTTATTTTTCGAGCTATTGTTAGACACAAACTGGAAGTTTTCGTTGAAATAATGAATGTAAGCCTAAAAGTTTTGAACCCGCCAAGCTCTCTCTGATATTTTCCCAACCTTGTGACTTGCGGAGAGTCTCTAATTATCATTCAAGATAGCATATTCTAATTTCACATGATGTTCAAAAAACTTTATTTCAATTAGAACAAATTTCTGAAATGATACATCGGCCTTTAAAAGAATATTGATGGTGAATAAGTTACTTACTTTTCTTTCTAAAAAATATCTTTCCTTTTTCTGGAAATATTGATGACAGTGAAGATTGTTGTAAATCGGCTTTATGTGTAGTTAATGCTGATCAACTATTTTATAATATATTTTCTCATGTTTTTTCATATACAGCTAAGAGAGCCAGTTTAGTTGCATGACGTATCGTTATTTTAAGTTCGACAAGCAGTGAATGAAAAAAATTAGCAGCACAAGAGAGTTTCGGATAGTTTATTAAGGTAAATAATTCGGGTTCGATTAAATTAAAAGGTCGTAAAACTCAAGATTGGTTTATGATCGATTTTTCTTGTGCATGGCAACGAGCAAAAAGTTGTTCTTCAATATCCTTTTTCTTTTTGGATTATCCTCTTGATTTTATTTTAGAACGTTTAAGTCAACGATCATTAGATCTAATGATTTGAAATCATCTAGAATGCACATATGATACAAAAAAGCCATTTAGTTCAACATTCAGTTGAAGATAATAAAATAGTAAGATAAAACTCTGTCCCCCATATTCAGTTTATTACAAAGAATTAAAAAAAAAACCAGTTTTCATTCAAATATATAAGAATATATCAACTGTTATTCGAATTAATCTGCAATGCGATTTTTTTCAGACCACCCTCTTTTATTTCCAGCATAAACTACCATTAATCACAATAGAATAGGCATGAATGTAGTGAAGGTACTGCAATGCCACTTATTTCTTGCTTCTTTGCTTTAAAAAAGCTGTTGGCGCAATCCCTGTGGCATTAAAATATGAAACATGATGTAACCATTGTTGCTAATCGTCTGAAAACTTGTGTTTTTTTTGTGTATGTTGGAGCATATTTCGTCATCATTCCTTACCTTATAGCATAAAACTTCATCGAGAACATCCTATATATAGAATATTCTGTTAGATGTTAGTTATACACACTCTGTAAAAGGTCATTGAAGCCGCCTGTTACTGCCTGTGAGGAGAGAGGGAGTGGGCGTGGCTGCGGATACATGTTTCTACTCTATATACTTCAACAATCCTTTCATATCGTGCTTCACAAAAACTTCAAGATTAATATTATGCGTAGCAAAATCGAAAGCATGACGTCTGAAATAATGAACACATATATTTAGTTCCAGTGCATGAAAAGAAAAACGATAGTAGTCTATGTATTGGTCGATCTTATCTATTGCGCCGTAGTACATATATGGACGGATTATTTATTATTGATATTCTTTCGATTACAAAAGAAAGGAAACAAGACACGCAGAAGTACTGGCTTGCTTCTTCTCTATCTATGTGTTTCATTATTTTTTCTTACGTTATCATCAATCCTACCAAAGCTCTTTGTTTGACGAGGAGACTCCTGATTTCAGGAGTTGACTTTTAGAATTTTCTTGTAATTTCTTCTGATGTTCAGTTTTTGCAGATTCAATTTTAGCAACCATACGAATTGACAAAAAACCGAAAGAAAAAAATAACAGTCACACTTAGAGGCAATAATCTTTTAGCTCATTTTCGTCACAATGAAAGTGTGTTCAATTCAAAAAATGAGCTCGGACACATTTTCTCTGCTTGCTTCAAATGTTTACTGCAAGTTGAGGTTCAGTCATACAAAATCTTTATAAAATTACAAAGGGAGTCGTACCAGAAATCATCTCAATAGTGCCGAAAGAAAAATTTGAATAATCAATTATTCGAGTTTTTATAAAATTTTTCAATTGCTTCTTAAATGATCAACAATTGTCAAGGAGAATTTTTCTCAGCACAAAGATATAGTCATGCTACCAATATCATGGGGACAAACTTCTAGATAGTTTGCATGTCTTTATAATACATATGAGAATACTTTTATTCCATCAATAAATGAACAGATAACGAAATACCAGTACAATAGAATACATTCGATTATAAACAATGTCTAATAACGGATGATCGATAAGTAATTAAACAAAATGTTCGTTCAGTTTTCAGCTTATGAAAAGAGTCTGTAGAACTTTGAAAAGATGGGACTACAATCAGAATTTTATGCTTTTTTTTCTAACATTCGATTCAAAATTTATGTACAACTTCTGATTTAAGAGAAATAAATCTATCTTTTACAGGTTCAAAGGCAATATTTGGATGAGTTCCAGCGCACTAAAACTTATTCAAACTACAAGCAAGGCTTATTTTCAAATACAGTGAATGAAAAAGCATACATTTCTCTTGCAAATGTTATACTAGTCATCAATTTACTGAAAGTCATTGATCAATAGTGACCATTTTGGTAAGAGACACCATATGCTAATTTAGACAAATCCCTCAATTCCTACAGAGAAAAGATTCGTGAAATGAACTCAGCAATTTCTGAATGATTGTTCTACAATCTTTGATTCGTATTTCAACTTGTAGAGAACGCACTAACCTTAAATTCTATATGAAAAAATCGATAATACAGCGTATGTAATAAAGAGAAGGTGACTGTGACAGATGTCAATTTTCTAAGT